CTTGAAAAAGAATTTACACCAGGACAGCTCAGCATTGTCCACATCTCGTCTACTACTGTCCCCTTTACCTCTGCAGAGATTTTTAACTCATCTTATTGACCTCTGCAAGAAATTTGGGCGATGTTTCAACCAAGACCCCCAGTTCTGCCTCCTCCACAGAGAGTGTGTGTGTGAGTCAGATTAGTAGTTCTTCAAAGTGTTCTGAGTGGGTACATCCTCACTTGAGGTCAGCAGTTCTTGTCCCCTGCTGGGAACAGCCTGGGAAAGGCCCTGCCTCTACTTCCTGTTAGACAGTTTACCATAGTGCCTTGCAAACTTTATCTAAAGGCCACCTTTTTCAGTTTGATGGCTTCCTCCACCTGCAGGTTTTTGGAGTTTGGCCACAGGGTACAAAGATGACCTGCTGGCTATAGCACTGAGTAGCTGTGGTCAGAAGGTATTCAGAGATAATTTGTAATTAAAAATTCTAGTGCAATTTCTTTGCAGTTCACTTGAAAAGGAGAATGAGGGCAGATGTTAATATATTTGGATTACAGACAGCATTTTTGGGGTCCACTGGAAAATATGTACCATGCATCATTTAGCAACTAATATGCACATCTTATAATCCAGTATTCAATTTAGTTTCTGCAGGGTTTTATTTAATTAACATGTACTGACCACACGAGTAGGCCGGTTTGTAGCAGCTGATCAGAGATATTTCCATATTTGGATTTCACATGTTGGAGCTTGACTAGTAAAGGCCCAACATGAATCATTTAAGTCTGAAATTGAATAATCTGCACCACATCTTTGCCTAATGAGTACCAAAGGGATAGTCAAGGGATGGCCAGAACAGCTTCAGAATTATTCAATTGCAATTTGATTTTAGCCTAAACTAAGATTTTGCACAGCAAAGCTCTCCAGTGTCTCTTTTTTTACATACTGTGTGTGTGGATCCTTGTATTACTTGATATACAATACATACATATATAATACAATAATATATATTAGCACTCCTTCCAGATCTTCATGTTATTATTCTTGTTTTGTTTTTTTTCTCAATTATTGTTAACATCACATTTGCTCAAAAGGTACCAAGCATAGTATAATACTAAAAACCAATTAATTCAACCTCCACTACACACATAAGCAACATCAAACAAATGAATGAATGAATGAATGAATGAAGGACATGAAGCTACAAAAAGCTAAAGATCGTAGGATTATTGAGCTAGACTGAAAGCAGACTATTTGATGCATTCAGTGATGAAATATAACTCACCTTTCGGAGAGATGATAGCCTGCATTTAGAGAAAACTCTGTATTGCAGTCATTTATGCATGCATACCTTTATAGCCAATCATATCTGTGCTTTCATGAATACCTCAAAGAGGGAATGTTATATGCACCAAAGACCTGGTTTTAATCTTCAAAAAAACCAAGGGAATGAAAGGCAAAGTGACAATAAAGTAAGGACAGGGATAAGCTTGTTGCCTTCTTTTTTTTTCAAGTCACTCTTGACAACAGCAGCGACCTGGCCATGCGGGTTGTATATAGATAAGTCTGAGGGTCACAAGATACAATCAGCGGGTCCATCAGTCAAAACACACTTGCCCGCTGCTGAGGTCTACTTCCCTCCCTCCTTTCCTCCCCCCAGATTCCTCCCACTGTCCTGCAGCTTCAGGAATATTAAATATGCGAAGCGTCCGCGCTGCAGATGTGATGCTATTGATTTTGTGTCAATCCCGCAGGCCGCAGTAACTCGATTTGGTATCAGTGATGGCTAAATGAGACTACTCCAGGCAGGAACGGAGAGAATTGAAGAAGAGTTGAAGGGTTGGCAGGTTTCTCTTTGGCTAATCTCCACAAAGCACCTGTACTGATTTTACAAGTAAAACAAATAACATTGGTTATTGTCTCCTCTTAATTCAGGAAGTCATTAAAAAGCCTTGGAGTACTGAAACTGCAGAATTAAACCTGACGATACAAGTTCTTTAATTTTTTAACGTTACACAGTAGAGCTAAGAGGTCGTGGCCACATCCCACTGGGTTTCTTTGGCATAAGTTAAATTTTCTCAAAGCAATATTCATCATAACTGATTCTACTCTAATGAGGATTCCAACCCCCTACAGTGCTGAGTGCTTCACCAGAGTCAGCAATGAGCTTAATGCAATTAAGGCCGCAGCCGTCTGGTAGAGCTCCTTCGACTTTGTGAGAGACTGTTTGCCCAGCTGCTTCTTAAATGTGGACAAAGCCAGATAAGCAGAGTTTGAGTGCTAGAGGCACTTTCATGGGAGCCTGTTTGACTTGCCATCAACTTCATGTTTATGCTGTTTGAATTTGAAGATTGACGTGAATCAGGGGTGTCTGTGAATGTAGATTTAGTACAATTACGACCTGGGAGAAAAAAAACAAGAAAACAAATGTATTTCCTTTTTCTCCGCAAAGTCAAGACGAAAAAACAAAAACTGATGAAACACATTCATAACACAACTGAATATCTGTTGCAGCTGCAGTGATATTGAAGGGTTTTCCTCAGTTTGTTTTTGTGTTAGTGTGTGGGCGAAAAAGAGAGACTGTAAGAACTGTCAGCCTATGAAAAACAAGCATGAAGCAACATTTCATTGATTTACAGTGTGTATGTGCTTGTGCATATGCATGGGTTTGATTTTATGGGAAGTAACATATAAACAACAGAGACATGTAGCGCTGTTATCTGCATTGTGATGCTGCATTGTGATTCACCATAAACCCTGACAGAGACTCTGTTTTGTGCCATATCAGTGGCAGTGCTCCCACCTTCCTGGTACCAGGAATCCGTCCTTGTTCTTCGCGCTCCATTTTACGGCTCAACATTGCCACCAAGTGGTAGATAGCACCCATGACCCCATTCGGGCATGAGGTTAACAGCTCCAGATGCTGGCAGTCAGTGCACCGCAAGAGGACAGCATTGCAGATGCAGGTGTCATGGTGGGGTTCAGAAAGATGAGCAGACGTCAAATCATAGCAGAGCTTGGCGGTGGTCCCAGTTTTTGATGAGCGGACATCAAATCAATAATCTGTTCATTAGTCTTACAAGAGGAAATCTAAGAGTGATGTGCTGCTCAAACAAATCAATATTGCATGTAGTTACTCATTTTGCCAAATCCGTATCTCCATCCATGATAACCTTTTATGTGTATCTATAGCTGCTAAAACACCTACCTCCCAATATATCTGGCACAAATAGCCCTCTCTATAGCCTATCAGGGTGATGTGCATTGCAATCTCTGTCTAATTGCAAAGGACTATAGACCTGTGCCATCTGTTGAGGGGGGCAAATGACATCTTTGCCAGAATGCGTTTCAACTATCAGGCCACAAATCTTTTCTCTCCTTGCAATCAAGGTTGCAGCATGAGAGTGCTAACAATGAGTGAGGTTATTTCCCTCCTGCCTTCATTACTGTGTAATTAGCTGCAGTGCGATTCAATTTCCCTCATTTCAGACTTTTCAGATCAATATCACGCAGGCTGCCCGCTAAATGGCTGTTCTGCTAGGAGGGCTTTTCTATAGCTGAACAGGAAGTATCAATCACTCGGCTAAAAGAGTCGTTCGATGCTATAGCAGGCGATGACCACACACACTTTAAGGTGCAATCGTACAGGCTTTGGAGGAAAAGTGGCGTGGAGAAATGTGATATTTCAAAGAGGATATTATGTTAGAGTGTCAGGTTTACGACTCCTTTTTGTCTACCCTGTATCGACCACTATTGAGGTAAAGACACAAATCTGGACATTTCATTGCTTGCAAGGACATTGCCTAGCATGTCACCTTACAGAGAGAACATCCTTTAGTTTGTGTCTCCTTCATCTTGTGGATTTCTTTTGGTGTTTCAGTATGCAAATCAGCTCTTGAAGAATGGAATGCCCATTAATGTGATTTTCTTTGTCTATTTATCAATGATGGACCTAGTATTTTCGTGCTGGTAGAGTAGGCAGCTACATGAGAGAAAGTAATGAAGAACAGTTGCATAATCATGCGGTTAACACTGAATACATCTGTGAGTGTGACCAAGGTCGATAGGCCAAGTTATGAACACATCAGCTCTGCAGTTCATCAGCTCATTGTTAGCCAACACAGTCCCACATGAGAGCATTTAGCAGCATTATAGCACTGGGTGAGATATGAGCCGACTCAAAGGCTGGCTATAGTCAGATCAATGTCCTCCCATAGAACTGAACATACAGAGTGGGAGACAGGCAATCAGAGGCCTGGACTGACTTAATTTCTTAGAGTAACTAGATGTGGCATCGACTGCAAGGCTCATTCGAGGCTGGTTATTAATGTGTGTAATAGACAGTTAGAGGACACTGGATCGTGGTCACATGAAGGATGGCAGAAGTGGTGGCAGTTACAGAATCGATTTCAAAATCTCTCGAGTTTGAGTTTTTGGGAGGGGGATGTGGTCAGAGATTTTGTTGTGTTGCAACTGCTGTGTCTTCGGTTGGAAAGGGTGGACTTACAAAGTAGAAAAAGTAGCTGCCTCAATAAGTTACAATGTGCTGCCAGCTATTCGAGTTGTATTCTAATGGTCTATTTTGTATTAAATGTGGGGGGAACCAAATCATCTCACACCCGCCTCACTGTTGGACCTCCTGTGCTTTTGGTGCAGGGTCAGGCACAGTATGGCTGTGGTTAAGTGAGCCTCATCTCCAAAGTGTCACCATTTCAGGAACAGAGAAAAATTGCTTTGATTTTGGCTTGACAGATGTATTTTACACGTTAAGTTTATTCTAAGATTTGGAAAGTTTTCCAAATCCTAAACATCAACTCTTCAAGTTAAAACATGAAAATTACCTAAATTGCCAGCTTTCACCTGAGATTACTAGTATTAACAATAATTGATGTAAGCTTTGAAGGAAAACAGACTATATTTTTAGATCAAAGCAGCCAATAAAAGCTGAAAATACCCTCTGCTCAAGCAAGCTCATGCCCACTAATTGAATTCCCATTTCAGAAAGACAAGACAAAACCATGTTTTCTTTTTTCCAGTATCATTCTTATTAGTCACAGAAATGCAAAACCAGAACACATATTAGAGTGATGCCTGCTGCATTTAATACTGAGGAATCGTCCGGGACCACAAGGATTAGCATGACATCAGTCTGAAAGATTCATTCATAGAATGACAACAAACATCCTTCGTCAGGCGGGGAGTGACACAGAAGGACCGGCAGCTATTTAGCTATTTATACAGACAAATAAATACCAGCAATGTGAGTCTCATTCAATGATGAACCAGCAGTTAACAATATGGCACTCGAAGTCTGAATTCATCTCTCCACGGGCACAAGGCAACAGAAACATTTCCTCTGTCTGGAATTTCAAAACTTCATGTTTCCTAAATGAATCTTAACTCGGCGTGCAACCTTAAAAAACTAAACGTCTGGCCGGAGAATAGAGCCATGAAGGGAAAAGCATGCAGGGTAAAAACAGCACAATACAACTTGCATCAAAACAGATTCTCAGGGAAATAATATAATATTTATGCTGCTGTCAAATGAAAAGCCTCATTACTCCAGTTTGTGTTTTTTTTGTATATATTTGATTATTTTATTTTTATTGACAGTCTCAGAACTCCAAAGCTCATTTAAAAGCGGATAGAGGAATCAGCAGGAAGTTAACCATTTTCCTGCTCTCTGGTGTCAACATATTTATCGGGAAAGATGAGCTCTTCATCTGACAGCAGCAAATCACTGTTTCTGCTACATTCACAGTACTGCAAAAGGATAGATCATCTATCAGAGCACTGGTACAAGACAGTACTGTATACTGAAAACAACACAACAGCAATAACTATCGGACAGTTACTGATATTCAGGTAAACATGACAAAAATATAACATTGTTAAAAGTCCGTCCTAATTATAACTGTCCACACAGTCATTTCAGCTGTTCCTTTTGTTGGCAAAATGGTTGCTTTTGTCATCAGGCTTCAGATGAGCACCACAAATCGACAATATTTTATCTGACATCAAAATAGGTCCTATTATTGGTCCATTGAAATGTATTTCAAAACAAGATGATTAACAATAAAAAGCAGAGCTTCTCAAAAGAAGACAATAGCTTAGTATGGGTGACAGGTTTACATTCTTGGCAATAACAGCACCTCTTTTATGTTTTTAAAGAAAAACAGCCATTCCAATTTGCAGCACAGTGCGCTCAAATTATACTTCACTGACTTTAACATTCCACCAAGAAAATACAATTTTGTGGATTTTTCTAAATATATATAGTAAATTTTACAGTAACACTCTTGGCCGACACTGAATCAAAATGCAGAATTTTTCGACATAGAAATCATACAAATACAATCCATTCACATTGGTCATCACATTCATGTGAGTTAGCTGGAGTGGAGTTGCTGTTGCAGTATGTGTCCACTGTGTGGCAGCATGTAGGTATCCTGGCTTGTGTTTTCAGTGCAATTTCTCCTCAGTGTTGAGGGCTGTAAAAACTGACATACTGTAGCACATTCTGTGTCTGGCTCCCGACTGCTCGCTGATTTGGCTTCTTGCACACCAACCGTAGGAGGGATTCTAAAATAGAGAGCTGTAGACTGTTACTGGCGTGTTCATCAAAATCACACTTCAGTTCAAGACTCCTGCAAGGATTGTGATACAGTGTCGACTGAAGGGCATAAAACACATCAGCACTGTGATAGAAATGTATAATGGCAGTGTCCCTTGTGAGGCTGGATCACCAGCTGGGCAAAGCAGGCAACAGCCCTGGGACCCCAAACCTCTAGGACCCCTGAAAGCCCCACATTCACTGTATGTCAGTTTGTTTGTGGTAATCTGATTAAAAATACATTGTTAAGGGTATATGAGGCAATTCATTATAGTATTAAGCAAAATAGAATAGGGCCTTAAGGTGGTAATTAATATTTATTAATAATTATAATAATAATTAAAGAGGAGGCCTTTGGAAAAATATATTATTATCAGTTGATGCTCTCCAGTACTTATCCCTAAAAACATTTGTGTTTAATCAAATTGCCACAAAGGAATTGCTCATTTTTTTATAAGGTTGGTCTGCTGATGGTGTCTTGCATTCTGGCAAATCAGTGGTTCCCTGGAGGTCGGGACAGCCCCATTCATCACAGGTGGTGCAGGATGACAGGAAAGGAGAACATTTCTCCCATGCAAAATTAGCTTTTTTATTTATCTTGTTATCTCCAATTATTGCTTGCTTTTTTCTTGTAAAATCCTGATTAGTTTTACCTCCTCAGCCCTATAAAACTTAGCCAATTTAAACAATCTTAGAAGAGAAAATTGCTCTTTGATTGAGCTGCTCACAGCTCATACTCATTTCCAACCTGTGATGAGAAGTTGTAAGTAGGCATTACTGTGTTTTAATGGGTCAAACAGGTTGGTAGATGATATGACAAAAGGATATTTCCTGTGACACTTTACTGATTCCTTATTTGAACAGTCTAATTTTAAATGCTTATTCGATTTCTTGCCAAGGGTTATATGAGAAGATTGTCTCACTCTTAGCACTCTCACGTCTGTCGGTAAATATGCAACCACAGCAGCAGTCTGTTAGCTTAGCTTAGCAGAAAGACTTAAGACAGCTAGCCTTGCTCTGTCAAAGGTAACAAAATCTGCATACCAGCGCCTCTAGGGTATGCCAGGGTTATGTATTTGACTATTTCTTGGCCAGACGCATTAACTTCCTCTTGGTTGGTTAAATTACATGGTGATGATACAAATCCAGGAAGTTACTTTGCCTGGCCAGGAAATAGTCCAACACAAAAACCCCCGTAAAACCCCAACATGTTTTTTCTACACTTTTGTTTTTATACGGAATAAACAAACAAGATTTAGAACCTTAATTAGTGAGCTTTAGAGGTGCTAATTGGTGAATTTAGTTACCTTTGGACTGAGCCAGACAGGCTGATGTTCCTAGTCGTTATGCTAAGCTAAGCTTTCAGGCTCCAGATACATATTTAGCATGCAGACAATAAATCTTTCTCAACAAGATAGCGATTAAGGGTATTTCCCAAAATGTTGATTTATTCCTTTAATGCCCAACATTCAAAAAGCAGATGTTCAACAAACTGTGACTGATCTATTTGCTTATTTGCTTCTATACACAAATACTTTTCATTGTTGTTGTATAACTGGACACCCCTGATGCTGTATGATTCTAGTATTACCATGGTACCCATAAACAGTAGCTTTAATAGAGAAAGTTGCATCACAGGTACAGGTCATGCAGCATTATGATAATGGTTGGTAGCTATAATAAACATTTATAATCCACAGTTACAGTATGTGTAACACACTTTTTTTAAATGTTAACGTCTACAGTACATGATGAGTCTTTAAAGGACACCAGAAGTCATTCTGGTAAAATAGGAAATGATTAACTCAAGTAAAAACTGATTAGGAACACTGAAGATGAGTAGTCACAATAGAAATGCCTATAGAAAATTATAGTTGTGAAGTGAAGAGTGTGAGAATAAGTGACAGGACAAGACTTTACTTCAGCAGCCAAAGTCAACATCTCTCTCACCTGGTTATAGATGAACATCAAACACTCCTTCTTCCACTGTCTCTAGATCCTCTTCAGCAATTACTGGAAACAGAGAAGGTCAGGAAATGAGGAATAGATTAATCAATCAAATGAAAATGCAAAACACTGCCTAGAGCAAATAAAATGTGTGGCCTTTGTCTGTTTACCTTGCCAATTCATTTGCCTTGCAGCACTGTGTAGCCCATTGATCAAGCAGATTCATGGTGATATAAAACATGGCCAGGCAGGGCACCATTTTTGATAATGTCTAATGAAAACATTGCATCTATGAGTCACTGGTCTCGCTGTGGTGGGCCAATCATATTTCCATTGCAAATTACACTCCATTGTTTGAGAATATCTTCCAAATGTCAGTGCCCCATATGCTCAGAGGAAGACAAAAGCACACGTCAAAAAGTGGAGGTGTTGCAGTGTAGACATGAAGTGCTGAAAACGTGTTATAAAAATTCCTCTAAGCTATCATTTTCTGAGAGGATGACTGCATTAGACCGTTTTGGAAAAGAAAATTAGATTTTTCTGCCAGTGATTTTTGGGCACATTTTAGGATTGTGAGGGTGTTTTTCGTGATCATGTTGGTGTACTATATAGTGTCTTAGAAAGCTAATGAAACAATTTCATGCTGCATGTACATCATATGGAAAGGACAGAAGCTTCCCACCTCAAAATAGTCTTTGAGTTTAGGAGTTAGATATAAATCTTAATCCAAATTTACCATCAAATTAAAAATGCCTGCCATGTAAAAAATAATTGCCTTATTGTAAATCATCATTTTTTACCCTATTCACCTGTAGTGTCTTTTCCATACATATCTTTAAAGGCCATTTTCTCATTTTTTTCTCACACTCCAGAAATATCCACTTCAGCACACATACACCAAACCATCCAGTTTTACTCCTATCTAAATTCTGAAGGTTTTCCAGAGGGGTTTGTTCATATATAATTCATAAACTGATTAATATAACATTTTATTCCTAAAAACATGGTGAAAATGGATGTTTTTATGGCTGCTGAAAGTATTTTCTGATTTATGGAGCGATAAAGAGACACCCAAAATCCCTAGGCAAAAAAAACCCCATTGACTTTAATATGTCAACAAAATGAAAAATGTCTGTTCTGTAAATGTATGATAATTAGTGCAGTTTTAATCAGATAATTCTTCATTTGCACATTTAAAGAAGTTTCCTGGGGGTATTTATGAGTTAAAATTGTTCACCTGTGGTGTCGTTTAATGTGGTGCAGAAACGTGTTAAACTCAGATTTAAAGTGACAACGGAGCTGATGAATGTGAACCCAACAACCAATTCTGAAAGCCTTTTAGCCAAGGGAATCATAGGACTGCGTCGTACTTGATACAACCAAAGCACCACTCACCTGTGTTCTGCAGGCTGGGTGGGGTGTTGGCAGGTGGAGGGAAGCTGTAGGATCTGGCCTGGAGGGCAGGCGGAGTCTCGTGGCTGATGCTCTTGGTCCTCTTCCGGCACTCGACGGCCAGGCGGCTTCGGCAGGCCTTGTGGCAGTTGACCCCGCAGGCTGCCGGCCGAGTGTTCATTTGGAGGGAGGAGGACGGCAGCAGGGAGAGGGAGAGGAGGAGAGGACGTGGGGTTCGTCGGAGAGGGAGGGAGAGTTGTCGAGAGAGGAGACGAGATGGGAAAAAGGGAGGGGAAGGCCAGGAACGAGGGGAAGGTGGGGAGTGGGGTGGAGAGAGAGGGAGAGGGTCAGACAAAGGGACGGGTGCAAACAGAAGCATCGGGGTGAATGGAAGAGCTAGTGGTGACAGGAATGAGCTTCTACATGCCATGCAGACACACAAACACTGGCACACGCACACGGTGAGGCCGACTGTGCCCGACAACAACTCTGTCAAGCAGCAGGAGTCTAAGAGGAGGGGAGCGATGGGTCATTAAGCAAGGCATCATGAAAATGTGAGAGTGAAAGAATCTGAACACTCACACACACACGCCACAGTAGTTTGTCAACCAAACTTTCCTTTCTCCTTGACACCACTGCAAATAATTTCCCTGAATATTTAAACTTGAGAAAAGTTGAACAAAGATCTTTTGCACATTAAAACTCCATGTCACTACCACCTCTTGACATTATAATAGGGTAGTTTTCTTCTTCAGTCAGGTTTCAAGTGTATTGCCTTAGTCATTAAATACCTAACAGTCATGATGAACCATCTGAAATGCTGAGGTAGAGCCAATTAAAAACCTTTTAAAAACTGTTAAGTTTCACTGCACTTTTTTCTCTTGGTTTGTTGGTCTGACTTTACTGTGTTATTATTTTGGCAGCCACCTACTCAGTGGCCATATAGCACAGCCAGAAATGCTGGAATAAGCCCCAAATATGAAGTTAAATATTAAGCTACAGCCAGCAGGTTGTTAGCGTACTGCAGCTTAGCATTAAGACTGGATACGGGTGGGGGGATCTAAAAAGTTTTAAAAGAATAAAAGTGGTATTGATCAACTCTCAGCAAAGCTAGCGCACTTCCCAAAAAAATAAGGTCAAAGACAGGTGGAAGTCAAGACCTATTGCTGTGATGTTGTCGTAGCTGTATTGTATTGATATGAAAGTTAGAATACTAACCCATTCAAAGACACTAAGATACCTCTTATATCTAAGTCTAAAAGTCTACTGCTGTAAAACACACACCAAACTCCTCACACACATTCAGGGCTCTCGACACACTCCGCTCCTGCACTGTAGAGGGTGATTCATTTCAATTATGTCCCCGCCGCTCTCTCTACCTCCCTGAGTACGGGCTAACAATGGTAATGGGGATGAATGGCTGTAGGGCTTTCACGTTGACTTCCTGTGGTCTCATTAATGCGGTGGAACAAGCCTGAACTCTCACACACTTCCAGTCTAACTCGGAGATGTACACTCCTCCAGAGAGGAGAGGAGAGGAGAGGAGAGGAGAGGAGAGGGAGGAGATGGGAGCGAGTAGTGTTTGGGGGTGTGAGTGGGAGTATGAGTGTGTGTACAGTACAAAGTGCTCGTGTTCCCACTTTTAACTCCTTTTGTCTCAACAACTGCAATCATGTACGGATGTTTGTCTTTTAATAACTGAATTACCTCCCAAGCACCAGAAAAACTGAAATTAAAGCGATTTTTTAAAAAGACTATCACCAGAAAAACAAGTTAAACTTGATTAAAGTAGAACATGTCTTGGTAATTAAGAAATTAGTTGGTGATCAAATAATAATATTTGTTCTCCTTCTAAACACAAGGTGCAGGGTGCTAGTAAAAGACCACAAGACCTCAAAGGCCCCAAGGAGCATCAATTACTCTAGTTGCTATGCAACTCAAATCTCTGATGATAACTTGCAAGCTCTTTAATAAGCCTTAGTTCGCCAATCTGAGATAAACCTGAATGAATAAGGAAGCAAGAGAGAGTCAATAATTGTAATACTCGTTTTTCAAGAAAGGAACGAGGAGAAGGTGAACACATTACATCCTCTGACATACAAGGACTGTGTCTATATACATGTGTGGCCTGTTTTTCAGGCCATTATTACATTGACTATTACTTAAAATATTCCGAAAAATGAGAAACCAATGCTAGTGCAAACAAATAATTAAACGTGGAGGGGCACACACACACACACACACACACACACACACACACACACACACACACACACACACACAGGCAGCCATGTGCTGTAAACATCAATAGGAACTAATTTGTTGAACACTTCACAAAACAATGAAATCCTGCCTGTAAAATATCTGCCTACTCGAACTTCTCTAATTCATAAGGCTGAGCTGTAATCAATCACTCCTCGAAAGACTCCGGCAGATGGAAACTTGCATGATTTGCATTTTAGATTTGGCATAATTTCCAAAGTGTTCGCTTGACATCTGGACGGAAACATATGTAGCGTTAGTTATTTAGTGCACTGAACGTCTGCAGATTATCACTACTTAATTTTTAGAGTCAGCACGGACCACCAGTGGCACATCCAGAGAGGGAAAGTAGGCAAGTGTGTGGTTTTGAAGCTAATGACCATGAGGACGAGAGGTGTTGGAGGGTCCCTGTGTGTATGTACATTTGTGAAATGAACCAGCTTCTTCAAACACTGGTGTACTGGGAGCTTTGAAAGGGCAAATAATTGTGCATTGTGTGTAGTGTGGTCTCAGCTGATGGACCTTATCCAGCTGTTAGTGAACTGAGCTTTGTGTGTGGACAGCCATTAAAAGAGGGTGATATATTTGCCATGGTTTCTGTGTTGATGACATTTACTCAGTACTTCAACTCTATGGATCTTTATCTACAGAGGGTGTGTGTGTGTAGGTGTGTGTGTGTGTGTGTGTGTGTGTGTGTGTGTGGTGTGTGTGTGTGTGTGTGAAGGCTGGGAATCGATGGTGTCAAAAAGACTAGCTAATTCACACACACATCTGTGCAGCAGTCATAGAGTAAAATCTCTCTTACCTTTACACTTGTAGCCTTGCTTGTAGAAGCCCCATATCTAAAAAAAAAAAGAGAGAAAAAGAAAAGGGCAGCGGGGTTGGGTGTTAATTAGGATGTGCTTTCATTCCTGATGTAGTAATTACACAGAGTTTTGAGCTGACAGAAGGTAGCTGTTAAATGTCCGCTATTGTCGGAATTAGAATGCTCCTCTATACAGTATGACCTAAATGTATGTAACTTTTGTTATCACGAGAAAACAAAAGGTCGTTCCCTCATTTCTTATATCGTTTATCAGAGTGCTATGCCAGCATGCATATATGGTGTAATATTATTATAGAGGTAGCATTGGTCAACATAATGCACAATTCCAGGAAACAGTGTATGAAAAGAATCTGGGCAGCGCAGGGATCTTTGAGCTCATTATTAATCTCAGTCTGATATATTTGGTCAGTATTGCATCACATTACCAGGAAATGAATATTTTAAATGAACTCTCAGACATACAGTCTGGAAACAACTCTCTTTAGCTCACTTATGAATCTTCCCTGACAGTCGTGACAGTGATCTTTAATACTGTAATCCCATTCGATTAAATAATCCAGGCACTCATTTTCAGGTTCTCCACAAATACCCTGTGAACTCAAGTAAACAAAAATAATTTTCTCATGATGAATTATCTTGTGATCTCAACAATATGCCACTACCACACTCATATGTATATATACTTGTACTTTGATTTATTTTTACCTTTCTTGTAGAACCACCAAAAACATGTACAGCAAGTTGTTCCTGCCAAATTCTATTAGAACACTGAATGCATTGCCTCCTCTGCCTCTTTCTTTTTTGCACCCAGCCTCTCTCTGCAATTTTAATGGTTTTTATTACTCCATCTATGCCTTCTAAGGCCACGATGTTCTGTTCTTAATGACTCTCTCCTTACATAATTGTCTTGTTATGGTTTTAATTAAGGTTGTGTGGCAAAAACCCAAAGACAATTTTAAATAAGACAGCAAGTTTTGACACACTAGCTTCAAGCACTATAGTGGTTTTGCATGGTTTAGTTCTGTTAGCTACAAATGTCATATACTTTACATAATTGCCAACTATTAACCATGCCATAAAATGTTAGATTAATTTCCTACTTCTCAGACAGCCATTAGCCTCTGGTCATTTCACTACCGCCTGCTAAGACTTAAAAACCATCATGTTTAACATCATGCTGCCTTTATTTTTGGTCAGTGTTAAGTTAAAGCTACTTTACAATGTAATAAGGTGAACTGGGACACTGGGTCCCTCCAACTCCAGTGTTAGTTGTCCGACTTTTAAATGACTAAACCAACAGTCTTCTCTATGCAGCCTACATGTTGTGCAGGTGCCTTTTTTGTCAGCCGCCTTTGAATGCACCACCAAGGAGAATCTTCAAAATTGAAGTTGTAGTGAGCGGGGAACTAAAATAAATGGAAACCAATATCTGCCAGGTAGGAAATTCATCTAAAAACTTGTGCTTTGGAAAATGGTTGGCAGTAAAGACAAGGTATACGCAATTAGCAGTTAATGGGCTAAAACATGTTAAAACACCCATATACTTCACATCTTGATATCCTCCACTGATGCCGAGGCACCGAGTGAAGGCTGGAGAAAAAAGCAAGTGAAGAAAGGGGCATAATGGAACAGAGAGAGATGTAGGGCGAGGGAGAGAGACAGAGGGAAAGAAAAGAGGGAGAGAGAGGAGGTTGGCGGGACAGAGGGGGGTGGAGGGGGCCAAGATCAAGCGGGACGCAGGGAGCGCACAGACAGTGGGGGGAACAATGACATGAAAGAGCAGAGCTGGAGATCACACACTGCACTGGCACATCTGAAGAGGCACAAAATATCCTGACCTCTTCACACACACACACACACACACACACACACACACACACACACACACACACACACACACACACACACACACACACACAAACCTACATGCATGCATGCAAACACTTGTAGATGCACATAGATGCACACACAAAGACACACAAATACACACACTGAGGGAAACGGTGTGCACAGCCAGAGGCTGTACAACAAAGAGAAGTCAGTTACGAGCAGAACATCTAAACATAACTATCATCACAGCTCTGCCTACACCGGCTGACCTTTACTTCCTCTGTAGAGGCAGTAAACACAATGCACTACAAACAAGAGCTGAAGACACACTGACTTGTTTCTTTGACGGTTTACTGTAAGCTTTGAGAAAACTTTACTATAAATCTAGAAATGATTTGGCACTTAAATAGTAACGTCTGTATTTTATTGTGATGTAAATGTGCTGCTTTTACTGCCAGCTGTTACACTGTAATATTTAAGAAGCACTCCGTGTCATATTTAGGTTTATATTTTTTAATAGTGTCTCCTATATGCTTACACGCTTTTGTTGTGTGTGACTGAGCATGAAACTTGAGCTGACACGTTTGATGTTAATGCATTTAAAATAAAATCTTCCAAGCAGTACTTAACTAGTGATTTATTTTCTCCAGTAAATAATAGCAAGATACAGGAGAAGGAGAGTGACAACACAGCAATCCCATGTCATTCTGTTCCTGCTTTCCTGAATAGTTTGATACAATGGCAATGGCAGGAATATAAACACAAACTGCTTTTATTACACACTGAGGAGAGTTTCCACTTCCCATTTGCATTCCTACATCAAAATTTTTGGCATTCATCTACCACCTTTTTGTAAAGTGATTTAGTATGTGTAACATGTAGGGCTTGGCAGCATTCTCAGAACACTTTGACATACCAGCTATTAACAGTATTATCCTAGTATCCTCAAAATAACATTATCTAGATAGGCTCGAGAGCATATCTCGCTCTCCCTCTCTCTGTCTTTTTTAGCATTTTTAGTTGTTCATAATCTTGAACTTTACAGTGCAGTGGAATGAAACGAAGCTGATGGAATGTGATTTATTTAGGGAAAATAAACAAACATTTGGTTTGCTGATGCTATCGTGCTGCCCTTTGTTGTAATGTAATAAAGTTGTGGGGTGGGAGACTTCTGATGGGGAGGCATTCCAGAAAAACCACTGATGTAATGAATTTATAAGTAATTCATTGTGGGTTCATTTATCTATTTGTCTGTTAAATATAAAGCTATAGCTTAGCTTAGCATAAAGACATCACTAATTAACACATTTCATCTTGTTGAGTCTTGTCATCACCATGAAGTTGCTGGGCAACCAACAGACACTCCAGGAAGTCACTCAAGCCAGAAATATTCCATAACCCCTGGTAACGCCACAAGTTGTCGTTATTACACTTTGGTCTTTATTAAAGATGTAACGTGTTAATTAGTGAACTTTAGAGGTGTTTTTTTTATGTTTGGGCAGAGCCAGGCTAGATTCAGCCCCTGCCAAACTGTGTAATTACAACTTCTGGGTTCGTCACGTGATGCACACTGACCCACGACTTTTGCCATAGAATTACACTGTGACAGAAGAGGCTATAAGATTGTGGATGAAGTTTTTTAAGCCTCACAAACCCCACCAAATGACTCATTTCACTCTCAATCCAAATTTGATCCAGTCTGTCTGATAACATTTGGATCAAACCAGAAGTCAGTCGGCTCAGCCAGCGGAGGTCTCTTGTGCACATGCTCTAGAGCCTGCACAGTTTGCAGATCATTTCTTTGCAGTGGCTTTTTTGGCTTAATGCGCCACTGAGCAACTTTCATAGGAATGAGGGAGACAACGACTCCAACACTGTATGCTTATCTTAATATACATTCATGACCTAGCTGTTTCCTCCTGCTACCAGTCTTTATGCTTAGCTAACTGTCGCTTTGTATTGATCTTCTCATCTAACAAGAAAGCAAATTTCCCAAACACTATTCCTTAACTTTTGCAACATGCAAACACAGAGACAAAAGTCACTGTGGTCTGTGAAATTTTTAAGATTCCTCCCGACTTCACATCCCTCCTCCACACTGCATGCATGGCACAAAGAGATCCAGTGTGGAAACTGAGGACTTAGTGTGAATGTTTCTGATATGCTGCTGTCTTAACAATTAGACAGTGTCATCATCATTCGATTTACAGTTGTTAATTTAATCTTATACAGTGTGTGTCTTCAGCTGGTTATCAAAAGGAAGAAAATTCCATTGTATTTAGCTGATCTTACAGGGACTGGAAACTGATTTGTTTTGGCACACCCCTCTCTACTGCCAAAATCTGCAACGCGGCAGGATAAGGTCACCAAAACATGTCCATGGGAGGTTTGTTTACAAGTGCTGGTTTGCAATATGATCCTGCACCAAATACATAAAAGAAAGCTTTCCGCAGTTTAGACCTATAGGAAATCAATCAGTGGGCGTGATGACCTAAAAGAACAATAACTGTGCTTGATTTTAGCGTTTATTATAGGGCAGATTAGGACAGATTGCCTAGACGGACAGTGTGGAAGGCGACTGCGACTGTAATAACACATTTTCCCCAGTAAGATCATTTTCAAATACTCTATTTTTTAGTTTAGTTGAGTCTTTGTCAGAGTGTACGAACACTCCAGCAGCAGAAGACAAAACAAGAGACTGATTCTTGCTCTTCTTATATTTAGTCTATGAAACTAAAGTGTAAAAAGCCCGAAGAGACTTGTGCACAACCCTCTGCTGTCTCTCATATAAAAGTACTCTGAGGCTCCAGCCGAAAACTTACTGCACTCTCCTGAGATACAAAAAAAACCCTCTGCGATATCTCTTCTTGCTTTGTGCATTTAGTAAAACTCATCTGTGTGCCATTAATTAGGATGTAGGGCCAAAGTTAGCTGCAGGCAAAACAGCATAACATTTTGGAGATCTGTGTGAGACACTGGAGGTGAGTGAACTCTGCGGTGTTTACAAGAGGCCTGGCTTGGCTCGTACAGCGTGTTTAAGAGGAGTACTGAAAAATGGGCTGCGAGGAAAATATTGTTTTTGCACAGGAGCCAAGAGGGAAAACACAAAGCCGGCAGAGGAGGAAGTGGCTAATGTATCTACCTCTGCCACACACACATATTCAAAGGAAGAAGCACGCTGCCAGAGTCCTTATCTTTCCCTGCTCTCTATTCCGAGTTTCCCCTTATGATGGTTTGAAAATGCCAGCGCTTCCCCTGGAGAATGTGTGTGTGTGTGTGTGTGTGTGTGTGTGCGTGAGTGTGTTTTTGAGTGTTAATGAAATGTCATAGATTATATGAATACATACTTCTCTTTTGAGCATTACAGTTTCTCTCTAGCTTCGCTCTATATGCAGTGTACAGAAATGAATGGGATGTCATCTCCATGTCTGCAGTTCAGTATGAGGGCCCTATTCCTGTTCTCATTACAGCTGAGTGCTGACTCACTGTCTGTGTCTAAATAACAGAGGGCTCCTTGGGGGACTTTGGGGGAATGTTAAGGGCCAGAGGAAATACACACACGCAGATGTGACACTGCCACAGAGGAGGGTTATCATCTCGCCCAATTACCTTCCTCCCATATTTCCCAGAGTGCAACTTCAGCAGTGTGTGGTTGTAGCTCAAAGTAATTGGCATTGCCCTGACCTGACAGGAGGAACCTCTGAGAGATGGGCCTATCACGCGCTGCTGGTCACTGGCGAGACAAATAATGAAGTGCAGATAGCCTGTAAGGCTTACATGGCTGTGGAACGTCAGGGTGAGCACAACTGACCTTTGACATTTTTAAACAAACTATGACACGTGCCATTGATTGGGTCAGTGAGAAAATCAATGCATTTAAAACACAATAGCAAAAATCTATATTTATTTAAGACCTGCACACGAGCCAGACTGGTTTATAAATTATACAGTCGATTCTGTATTTAGAATGATCTTTTAAAGTACTGCACAAATAGCATTTCATATGATTTTTAGGATAAATGTGATAAGACACAAGCTTAAACATGTAATAGGTGTTTACTCACAAAGCCAGCGCAGTGCTCGCAGAACGTGGGCTTGACGTAAGTGGCCTCAGTAAAAGTGTGGATGAAACCCATCTTGCAGTTAAGCAGAGAGCTGGCTTTCATGAAGTAGTCAATCATTTCCTCTCTGCTGATCTTCCCGTCTCTGTGAGAGGAAGCAAAGAGAGGTGAGCTGGGTAGGTCTGTAAACTGCGTGGATTTTACAACTGTGAATACATCTCCAAATGCTCACTGGTTCTTGTCCAGTTCTCCAAACTTGCTGAGGTATGGGAAGTTGTTCCTGATTGCTTCAAATTCGTCCCTGGAGATGTGGCCATCACCGTCTGTGTCGAAGTTCTTGAAGACCGACTGTGAACGTGAGAGTTTTTAGTTTCAGTGTGAATTCTGCTGCAGAGTACTGAGTGTTGACTTTGATTTAATTTCACTGCTTGGAATGCTTGGAGAGATCATCTGTAAGCACAATGTTTGTATCCACAAATAAAAATTTGATCCATGAATTTGAATATTTCATTTTGCCCTACTATCAATTACAGGACATGTTTTTGCCTTGTAACTGGCCAAGGTTGGGTATTTGTGATTTGTCTGTGCTTGAACCTTACATAAATAGAAAATAAGAAGTAATAATCACAATTAGACAATTAGGACCCTTACCATCCCCCAATGTTAATCACACAATATGAATAAATTAAGCATGTTTTTGAGCAATCCATGAGCAACCTATTCATTTCCAATTTGTTGCAGTCAGTTACTTAACAGATATCATCATTGCATGACCTGACTGAGAGCAAGAGGAACTGAAACACAACCAGGAAACAACAAATGCCTTTTCCCATCTAAATATAAGTGGGCACGAAAGTATAAGTGGGAACCTGAGTAGCTGAATGGTTAGGACTCATTTCATATTACTTCATGTTTCAGTCCCAGCCGGTGACCTTTGTTGCATGTCATACCCAGCTCTCTGTGCTCATTACATTTCTGCTTCTATTAACTATTTTGTTAAAAAAAAATCATAATAACCTTAAGAACAAGAAGGAGGGAAAAGAAAAGTAAGTAATTCTAATAGGCAGCCATGAGGTATAGAAATACTCCCATTGACTTTAAAAGGATTCTCAACCTGGGAACCATATCATTTTTCATTTACAGGGGTGAAAACAAACATAAACGACTCAAAAAAATTGATTTACTAGGTTTATAAATGACCTTCCCAGCCTTGGTAATTATAGGCAAAGATTGCTAGCCATTTGGCCAAGAGCCAAGAGCACTTGAGTTGCAGTTATTGTGTCAAGATGGTGGTGCACTGAGAGAGAGGAATGTATAGCTGCTGAGAAATTCACCTCCACCATCTTCTCTATGTGTTTCTTGATGACCGTCGGGTCGGCGCTGGGCTTCACCGACACAGCCCAGTCATCGATCATGGTGGGCTTGGGGTCAGTCGCGGGGGCGGGGCTGGAGTTCTGCTGCAACCGATGAGAAACCAAAGACCATGAGATCAATATCAACCCAGGGAAGCAGAAGCTGTCATCTTACAAAGAAAGAAAAAAGGTAGCTGCAGCACAGAGCAGCAGTCGAGGTTAGGAAAAGGAAAACAAAGATTTCCAATATGCATTTGTGACACTTTTTCACACAGCACACAATATGAGCCTTGAGAGCATCTATTATAAGATACAGAAAATATGGCTTCTGGAAGGCTGAAAGCTACATTTAAATATCGTTGAACTTCAAACAGTGTTGAGGATTCATTGGTTCCTACAGAATTCAGTACTTTAAGGATGTCTAAAATACCACGCACATCATCATGTTACAGTAAAACTCTCTGAAATCCAGACAGCGTAGGGCTATTAGCTTCATGGAGCAGTGAAAATCAGGACAGAGTGGGGTACACCAAATATGGGTGGACGGAGAGGACCCAGGGCCCAGAGTGTACATCAGTGTGCTGCTCACCGCTGGCTTGCGAGGTTCTCTCTGTAGAGACATCTGGTAGATCTCCTCCTCTGTGTGGTACTGGTCCAGAGACACCTGCACAGAACAGCGGACAGGGGTTTGTCTTTAAATTACCCAGTCTCCTCATTTTACATGTTTGTTAATGTTTTTTGTGGGTTTAGCCTCCGTTACACTCCCAGATGGATCACCAGTGTTCAACCAGTGGATTTTCTAATTGTCATATATTACACATTTTACGAATCGTTATCAGTGAATTCACTTAAATTCAATTGCAACTAATGGATATGAAACAATGTTGCAACAAGCTGTCAATTATATGAGATTATATAGTGATTATCAGTCCTGATACAGTGTTACATTCAGAAGAGAAGCTTTTGTTATTTCCTTTTAACTTTCCCTGTGAAAATAGACTTGTTATAACCTAAGTAACTTGTGAAAAGCTGTATTTAGTCATTGACACTATCAAATAGTCTCAGTGATTTTTGGGTGATGTAACTCCTAATTAACAAGAAGACTAAACACCAGACTGAAAAGCACTCTCTGGTTGAACGTTTTCTTATCACTGCAAGGTGTAGTGGGTGTGTGCACCAGTAACCATACCCAACAGTACACTTCTAACAGCTACAGCAAGCTGAGAAGTTAAACCAGCTAAGGTGAGCAAAAACTATATTTTTAGGGGTTTAAAGTTACTCTTAAACCCTTAAACAAGACAGAGGTGGCAGTTTTCCCCTCCATATATAGAACCACCATCACCTGACCAAATTTCCACACTTAAAAACCTTGAATAATGAAGTGGTTGAAAGCTTCAAAAAACCTGCAAGTGGGCCTTTGAGTTTAGATTATTTTGTTATGTAGACCGTTCTCAAACATAAAGAATCATTGTTCCTGCTTAAATCCAATACAATAGTAGTTTGTATAGTATCCTTGAAGAGAGTTTCAGTCTGAAACTGTTGTTAAGAGTTTCAACAAGATTTAGACATTCCCAGCATTCATCTCCACCACAATATTCCGGCACAGATTTCAAGCAAAAGAAGCATTTTAGGGGCATAGTCCAACTGCAAATACCAGTGAAATAGACACAAGTGACCACATAAGGCTGTTGTGTACCTTCATTCAAACAGCTGGCAACTATTTGTTTGTTTCTCTGCAGTTTGCTCAGTATGCTACAGTTTGCTGAGTATTGGATGATTTTCATTTTTATATGCTGCGAGCACCACAAATTAAATCCCATTCATCTAGATTTTACTGGAGTGGCAGCAGAACCTTCAGACAGATATCACTGATACCGCTAGATGTTAGTGAGAAAGCATGTTTATTCTTATTTACATGACTTGACACCCACAGACCCCCAGATGCATGCTTTTTTTCATATCTCACAGGTGCTTTATTCTATCACTCCAATGTTACATGACTTTGTCAATCAATTAGTTCCTCATGACTTCATGTTATTGCTTTCTGTTTCTATTTTAATTAATGCTTCAATGTACTGGGGTCCCCCAGGGCCCCAGTCAAAAGCACACAATACTGCCTATGCAGTTTTGATAGAACTATTTATTTAAATCATGTTTGCCATGGGTCCTAATTTAAAGTATCACACACTATCAGGGGAGGTAGGGGCACTCTGTCAGTCATTCTGAAGGAGATAGACACAGATGCAGCATACACAGTTTTCCTCATGTGTTCTGTCTATTTTAGTTTTTACCACAATATGAAATACTTTTAAATCCTCCTCCTCTTGTGTCTTGTTTATATTCACCTCCTTTGCTTCCAGTTTAGATTGTCTGCCCCACACTGTTTTTTTTCACCTGTCTCTCTTTATCCTTCCCCTAACCTGTGTATTTAGTCTTTGTGTTCCCTTGATTCTGTGTCAGTTCATCAGATATACTTGCTTGCTTTTGCCTGTACCAGTACCTGTCTAGCTACCTCCCTGCCTACCTGTACCTGCCTGTAAGCTTAATATTTGCAATGCACTATGCTGTTGGATACTGGTATACATTTCAATGTTGTACATCCCTTATATTTAACCCTTATGGAAAAACATACTAACACACATAAAAAACAATATTCAGGTCAGAATATGCATACCGGTATATATTTGATTTGCATAATAGGTATTTCTAGTATCTACATTTATTTTCTGACGGCACTGCTGACTCCAGTGGAGGTGACTATTTCCGTTTTCAAACCTCCTTTGTTTTCTAGGTATTTAACACAAAGGTCACACACAGACCAGTTCATTACAGAAATAGTTAAGCAGAGCCCTATTTTACTTTAACACAGCCGCTATGGCAACAGTTTTTTTGCTCCAGATAATACACCGCAGCTAATTGCCGCATGTAATCACCCACTGCATTCGTTGTTGGTTTCTCAGTTATTCTCTTACCGGAGCTGTGTTTCCTGGGTTTTATTGAGTTGAAGTGGTAAGTGCAGAAGGGGAAAAAAAGCTTTTCTTCTTGTTTGGCCTGAATTAGTGGAGCTCACAGTATTTCAGCGGAAAGGTTAACTGCAAATTGTTGAGATGATATAATAGAATCTCTTTCAATGTGAAAGGCTGATGAATATGACTCAAAAAGGAGGATACTGCTATTTTAAACGTGTGTGGTTTGCCTGTTTTAGCTGGCAGAAATGCCTGTGTAGAGAGCTTTATTATTTTGAAGGATTTATTGATTTTCTTTCCATCTTCTCACTGTGAGCCAAACAGGTTTCAAGCTAGATCAACTGCAATAAGCACTGGCGTACGATAATTGTGTATTGACTCTGTCCAGAAAACTTCCCTGGTGCTTTTCAGCTCCAAAACCTGTCAAGTAGTTTTCTGTCATTTTCTGCAAAAAAAAAGGGGAGCCAGCTGCAATCTCACACAAACACCTGCCGCCACATTGAGTGATTGATCTCTTGAGATTGTTTAAATTCACAAAGCTCCCCTTCTCAAATCCGGGAAACTCTTATCTGCATCTGCCAAAAATACTGACACACACACACACACGCACGCACGCACACACACACACACACACACACACACACACACACACACACACACACACACACACACACACACACACACACACACACACACACACACACTCAGGGGTTTAGTGTGTTGTGCTAAAAACACCACTGCAGCTTTCATGCTGAAGCGCAGGCAGCAACTAAGCTTGGATCAGTCTCACTCAGTATTGCCACTTTAAGAGCTCTCACTGAATATAAAATGGAGAATCCTCCTGTGAATCTGCCACAGAATATCCTAATTATGATTTAATGGTGATTGACAGGAGTGTAATATAAGTCAAAGAGATAAAACAACACTGAACAAACTACTATATCACTGTACTGTCACAATATATTACTGTGATCTCTTTAAATAAAAGGCTTGCTGAGATTTAAAAGATTCTGCTGAGATCCTCTTTCAGGTCATTTCCAAGCCAAACAGTCTGACAGCAAAAGCCCTTTGGTCTTTAATCAGGATACAGGAACAGACAAGAGGTTTCAGTGCAGGTTAAAAACTTAAAGTTCAGTGAAGTTCAATGAAGAGATGCTGAAACAGGACTCATGACTCTTTGTCTTGAATACAAATACAATCTAAACAATGGATTTCTACCAGATAATATTGTTACAGTAGTCAGACAAGTATGTAGAAGTAAATGCATTAATCCTCCCTGTATCTCTGAATGTCTGTGATAATATAATGTATGCCATCATCTTTAATTATTACTTATTACTGTTTGATCAAACCTTCTTCTGACCTTTTATAGAAGTCAGACAATCCAATTGATTTGATGTTGTTTATTGTTAAAATGCAGTAGTAAGCAAGTAAACCCTGTTTAAGACAATTTACTGCTGTAAGCATGAAGGTTCATGCTTTGAATGCTTTGGTGTCATTTGTGGCCTTGGTCTGTACACAGATTTTGTCCCTGCTGGCTATTGTACGGTTTGCCTGACCACAAGCCAATCAAATCACAGCAGAACTAAATCTGTGTATCAAACAGACTGGACACAAAGTTTTTCCTCCTACTTCACTGCTGTCTGGGTGGTTAATGAGTGCTTTCGAATTCTGTTGCGCTTCATGATGAATAATAAACTCACAGCACCTGATTCAGGACCTGATATTACCCGTTGCAAGCTGTTCTTTGCAGTGTACATCTTTAATTCAAGCCAAACATTTATCTTGGACACTGCAAATACATTTTCTGCCCAGTCTTTGCACTCACCGTAAGCAGGTTGAGCAGATCTGTGTTGGCATCGATGTTAGGCGATGTGGTCTGGATCAGTGCCAGCTCTTGAAGGATGGCGTACAGCTGTTGGGTCTTAGTCAGATTGACCCGTGTTTTCTCTTTGTCTGCCCAGTCTGGCAGCGCCACATGCACGGCTATCAGGTCTTTCAGGTGCACGCCGAGGATAGGGAATCGAAAGCCTGAGCATTCGGAGAAGCGCTTGCGGTATTGACTGTAGTTCCCACATGATGTAACCAGTTCAATGAGGTTGTTAAAAACCTGCAGGTTGAATGAATGCAGTTGGTTGGAATTAATTTGAGAGGAAAGGATAGACAAAATGGACAGGGATAAGAAAGGAGTTGGTAGGAAACAGAAAATCTCAAGAGAGATTTATTTAGGAGAGGCAAAAACATTTTGAAAAACTTTGCTCCAGATGGACTTACATAACTGACAAGACACTGTAACTCCCCCAACTGTTGCATTCAACTTTCCAGTTATATGGCTCAAATTCATATTTCTAAAAAGCCAATGTGTAGGAGTAGTGGGCACAGATAAGGAGCTTGGCAGCTCACACGGGGGAAATGTGGATTACTGAATCAAGATTCAATATCACTTGTAAGCTAAGTGCATCGACATACTGTGAACACTGAATTTGTCTGGTAGTGTTTGGCTGCAGAAGCAGGAAATGGTTCAGTGATGGTTGAGAGGACGGTAGCATGCTACTGTACCTTGTTGGTCTCTGCACTGATGTGGGTCTGCGTGTCTTTGAGGCGAGAGATAGAGCTGTTGCTGAGGCCGCCTACCACCGCCATCAGTGTGTTGAAGTTCTGCAACTGCAGCAGCTTCTGTCAACGACAAAGGGGGAGATATTATGAGGGAGGCTGAAAGAGGAATGCATAAGCCACTTCCAAAAAGAATTTCAGGGAGAGCGAAGGTGGTACAGGTTAAAAAAAGATTTACAGTATAGGGAGTCAGAAAGAAAGAAAATTGAAAGCTTTGGAAGAAAAAGCCAGAGACTTTTTGAGTAGTGTTCAGCAGCCCACATGCACATCCACACATGAACCCAATGTGAGTCTACCAAGATATTACCGAATGTTCTAACCTGTCTATGTCAAACTTAAGCTAACACTTTGTGAATGGCACTCTGCAGGGCTCCATTCTGCCCTTCAGCCTGCATGGCATATCACTGAAAATCAATGGGGTCGCAGCTGTGTGGGAGGGCTGCCAGAGGGGATCATTTGATTCAGCTCAGACACCCTTTGCAATCAATTGGCAAAGCAGTGTGGAGGGCAGCCCAGCATTTGGAGAGTAGGTTTGACTAAACTGCATGTGCAAGTGGCCGCCAGCGAGGCCTGAGAAAGGTTTCATTGTCAACACACTAGGGCTTTCCATCAGTTGTAGAATAAGAGCCGTGTGTACGATAAGGCTGGGAGATAAAGCTCATCCTCTTGTCAACCAATTGTTATCACATAGCCGACTGGTGATGTGTTGTGTTTATCAAAGCCAGAAGGCATAGACCACATAAACATATTGTGAAATGAATTACATTGGCTCTTGCCAATGAGCAGGAAAGGATATTTTTTCATTTTAAATTATAATGAAGGTCTGTGCAGTCAAGAAAAAGACTAATGAACATGAGTCATCTGTAACGCGCTCCCAACATGAAGCTGAAATGGGACACAACCAGCGCACCCTGAGGGAAGCTTTGGGAAATGTCAAGTAAATCGAGGTTACCTTCTGTGCTGCCTCTGAATACATTTGAAATCAGCTTGAGCATAATTTTAGTCTCTGCATGTGCTCCCACTTAGCTACAGAAGTTTGAGGCATGTCAAATTGGCAAAGAATTAATGATTGGATTTTCAGCAGGGATGTTCTGTCTCTGATGTATCTGCACAAATGTTCGTCCATTCTGCATGAATGACACATGTCCACAATGACTTCTGGACAGTTATCATTGGTGAAATTGAAATGGTGCTTGAAATGAACAGAAGGCAGTTTAGTTTAAGACGGGAAAAAGCAATTAACACAATAGGCAAAATGTTTTTACCTCCCACTGTTTAAAGTGGCAGTATATGAAATAGTATTGTGAATATGAAAAAGCAATGAGCAATACGACTCTCGTCTTCTCTTATGGTCATTTTCAAACAGCTTTCTCATAACAAAACTCAGCCCTGCCAGCGGCTCTGTGAGGCTGTTGTCAGGCACACAAGTGCTTTGAGCTAAATGCCGACATACAACATGCTCACAATGAGCATTAAACAAAAAGTACAGCTGAGGCTAACAGGAATGTTATTAGTTTGCAAATATATTGTCATAAACCAAGCTGTTAGACAAACTAAACATTTGACTTGATATCAGCCCTTTTACATTCAGTCGCCTTACGGTTTTTGTGTGAGAGGAGTGAGAAAATTGTACTCTTAACAATTTGCCATGCTCTCTATGTACAGTATTTATTAAAAAAAAATCTAAAAGATAAAAACAAAAGAGGATTCTGTGTATTAATATTTGGAAAGGAGGATAAAGAAAAGAAGATCAGGAGGGAAGGAGGCCAGAAAGAGGTCATTCTCAGGACCTCTGCAGCTCATCTGTCATAGTAATTCATCCCACACAAGGCTGGTCAGAATCAGCATCTGTCTCAAACACTAAGTTTCACGAAACACTGGAAAAAGTCCAAGTGCTGAATATTAAGGAGGGTGAAAGACTTAGAAGAGCTGCTGATGGGCTCCCCTGACAAGAGCCCTGCTGAGGTGTTGGAGCACTGGTGTATTAAGACAGAGGGAGGTGGCGAAACCTGCAGAGACCCTGCTAAATAAATAATTAGTGACAGAAGTTTGTTCTGCAGAGGATGGAGAAAGATAGAGGCATAGTGGGTATGGGACTGAAAACAATCCAGGAGCAGACCTGCAACAAGTAATGAGGAATGTAGCACTGCAGGCAATCAGGATGAAAATGATTTTTCTGAGCTTTCTATGGTTGACTGAAGCTCCCTGAAGGAGAGATTGGTGAATTGTCACATAGAGAGAGAAACCAGCACATCTGGCAGACCAGAGCAAATGATAACGTCAAACTGAAATTACAACAGTTAAAGTGAAGCCCTGGACGCCATTTAAAGGGATGTTTCTGTAGTGAAATAATGCCAGTCTCCAGACATATGGATAGAGACCCATATAAGGCAGTAAACTGGCAGCTTTGTTTGGGAATTGGTGGGGAGAGACCAGATTAAGATTAGGATTAGAGCCATCTTGACCTGTAGATGACCGTAGATGATTTCAGTTGATGAGGCTAGATTTGAAGAGATACATGGAGAGATAAAGGACAGTCTAAATTTGGGCATAGTTTGAGCTTTGTTAGACAAGTATTTAAATAGATAGGGGATAAATATTTGCAACAGACAAAGGTTTGCCAAATGTGCAAAAAACAACTGTGTCCCAAAGATGAATGAGTGCAAGGCTCCAGGGATAGCAATGTCGGTCGGTTGAAACTTTCTTTTTGAATGTGAAATATAAGCTACAGCTATTGGATAGATTCCTGTGAAATGTGGCACAGATATTCAAGGATCCAAAAGGATGAATCCTAAAGATTTTGCCCCTAATAAGGTTACCAGCATGTCAAGTTGTTCACTTATTTAGTAAAATATCTTCAGCATCAACTAGAAAGATCAGTACAACTATTTGTACCGATATTCATGGCTCTCAGATGATGAATCGACTGGTGATCCCCTGACCTTTCCTATAGTGCCACGAGCAGGTTGACATTTTTAGTATAAAATGAAATGCCTCAACAACTATTCGAGGGATTGCAATTAAATTTGGTACGTTAAGGATCTTGTAAGGATGGACTGTAATAACTTTGGTGATCCTCTGCCTCTTAATTTAGCATCATCATCAGGTCAAACTTTAAATTCATCCAGTTTTTTTTGGTTTATGACTAAACTACATAAAAAATTCCTAACAGCTGTACTTTGTCCTTAGTGATACTTAGCAAATGGTAGCACACCTACTGAGGACCTTCTTTGATACTGTTAAGGCATCAGCCATTTTCTTTTGAGTGGTCTGCTGGAGCAGCAGCATCTCAGCCGTCGACAGGAAGAGACTCGACAAACCAATCAAGAAGGCCAGCTCTGTCCTGGATTGCCCCCTCCACTCAATGCAGGTGGTGGGAGAGAGGAGGATAATAGCAAAGCTCTCATCACTGATGGACAATATCTCCCACCCCATGCAGGACACCATCACTACACTGAGCAGCTCCTTCAGCGACAGACTCCTTCACCCAAAATGTGTGATGGAGAGATATCGTAGGTCCTTCCTTCCTGCTGCTGTCAGACTGTTTAACAACCAGCACTGCTCCCAGTAACCCCCCATCTCACATAGTGTTTTTATTTAATTATTTCCCTACTCTTACTGTTTTTTATACTGTTTTTTCTCTATCCACGTTGCTGCTGTAACATTGGAATTTCCCCATTGTGGGACAAATAAAGGAATATCTATCTACCTACACACTAAACTAAGCTGGTGGACCTGGTAAACGTTCCTTATAAATGTATTTTCACTGGGAGCATGTTAGTATGCTGATGTTAGTATTTAGCTTATAGCACCGCTGTGCCTAAGTACAGCCTTACAGAGCTAACTTTCTGTAGTTAGAGCAAATTTAAAGTTACCCAAAATGTACTGCAGTTTGCTTCTTTGTTTCCCTCCAACCTTTCCTCTGTACCTGATATTTTCAGCTCATATAGAGATATATTCAGCTGTGAGTCATGCCAACTGCACAGACTACTCTGTTGTAGGATGCATTATTGATTTCTTTCTAGCCAACAGCAAGTGCGCATACTGTATAATTAATTAATGACACACTATGTCTTTTATATTCTATTATTTGTAGCAAATAGCCAATTATCTTTTAGGATTGCTACATGTTGTCGTATAATTGTGAATATTTTAGATGTAGGTGATTTTCATTCTTTCAAAAGGTTTTAAATGCTCCTCCGTTGTTCAAGACAAATTTACAACCCCCTAGGCCCATAAAAGCCAAAAATGCATCATCAAAAACTAGAATTTCTTCATTCCTGGAGATGCACGTTTCCCTGACAGCAGCATTATCTTAAAGAGCTCTCAGTAGGCCTCCTAACATGCTTATACCTCTAAAGCCGTTTTAAATTAAATTCACTTTTTCACGCAATTTGTGCCACCTAATGGTAAATGATCGCATCTTGTGTTTTGTGTGTGTGTGTGTGTGTGTGTGTGTGTGTGTGTGTGTGTGTGTGTGTGTGTGTGTGTGTGTGCGCAACTCATCAAGTCTCCACCGTGACTTTTCCCCTTCTCTCCAGATCTCTTGGTTTAATCTCCACTTCACCTTTTTACAGATTTTCTCCGAGGCTCCAGGCAATCATCTCCTATCAGTCTGCTTCGACATGCACCCTGAACCCCACAACTCACACAAACATCGCTCTATCTTAAAACCTTTGCAGGTCTTAATGGGCCCATCGGACAGACCTGTGCCACTCTGATGAAGTGGGAGATGACGGCAGCTCTCTGCGGGGCGGTGGGCTTGCTTAGCACCATGAGCTGGATCCACTGGGAGACGCTGTTAAAAAGGGTGATGAAACGCTCCAGGATGGGGTTATCCACTGTGCAGCCGTGCATCACAAAGCTGTGATAGTCCTGAAACTAAAAGGAGAAGGGAGAATTGGTGAAAAACATTCTAGTATTTTTATGAATCCTGATGATTGTATCCTCAGACATTTTGCTGTTTACTTTGACCATGATAGTTATATCACCAGCAAAGGTGATAAATTTGACTAATTTTGTATATGAAGGACAAAGAAATTCTGAAATCAGCTTACAGACAGATCATAGCTAGGTAAGCACTTTGGCTGTGTTACAAATTTGGGGTGTAGGGAACATGGCCATTTACCAGGCAGGAAATGTCCAAGAAAAGACACAATTGAATTGCTTTTTGGGAAATGTAGGATCCAGTGTTTTGGAGCTTGACCTATACTTGAGATTAAAACTCAGAATATCTCAGCTTCTGCTGTTTTTTTAATATGTCGGTTTTATGTATTAGTGCAACACTAAAACGCTGGATTAGCAGTTTAAAGGCACAGTTCAGTTGGGAAATATGCTCATTTGCCTTCCAACTGAGGGGAGATGACAAGGTTAATATCATTCTCATGTCTTTACAGCAAATAGGTAGCTGGAGCCAGCAGCTGGTTAGCTTAGGTTAGTATAAAGACTGTAAACAGGGGGAAACAGCTGGCCTGGTTTTGTCTAAAGGGAAAAAAATCTGCCATCCAGAAGATCAGTAATTAACACGTTATCGTTCGTTTGTCCGTTTGTTTGTTCGTTCATGGGGAATTATGTGCTTTACTATTTCTTATATCAAAGCAGCCAGCTGGCTACTTCACTTGCAGCCAATCTTTAATTTGGGAAATATAATATTTCTATATTTCTCTCTATATCTATTGTGGCTTCCATTATGGCTACTTTTTTGTTGTATACTGAACCAGAATCTCTTTTAGAAGAGAAACAAAGACAAAGGCAGGACAAATCACTACCACTGCCCCCATCTTGCCACCAACACCATCACACTTGAATAGATTTTCTAAAATATACTATTTAAATCAGCACAAACCCAGTCATTGCCTTAGCTTCCCAAAATAACACTCAAAGAGCAAAATGTTTCCAGACAACAAATATAATTACTGCCAGTAAAAGTCAGATTTCAACCACGATTGCTTAGCAACTACAATGAGCCGGCTGCATGTAAAATTAAATTCAAAAGATTTCAAGAGCTGTAAACATCACACTACATGCACAGCTTCAACAGCTTGAACTGACCAGGATCTTGCAGAAGGATTTGTACTCCAGGTAGGTCAGGTGTTCAGCCAGTTCACAGGAATCGAGGTGGTCAAACAGCAGGGACATTTTCCTCTTTTTGGACACTGATGGGACACGCTGAGTCACCTGTCGCTTCCACTTATATGATGGCCTGAGAGAGACAATAAAGCACATAAAAACTGTAAAGGTTTTCTCTTAGGTATTTTGGAAAACACCATAACAGATTATGAGGATCAGCTTTATAGCCCTTCCCAGGTTAAAGCTGCTTCTACAGTGGCATTAGATATCAAAGCAAAGTTATGATGAAAGATCAGATTACATAGTATGCACAGTAATTAAAATCCTTGAGTCCTGTAAAACATGAGAGATACTGAAGCAAACTACAACTATAGAATGAAATACATTTATTTGTTGAAGGTCATTCCCTAATTTGCAAACCAGCTGCAGTAAGTCACAGATCTGCTCCACAAAGCCCCATCCATATAGGAACACTAAAGGGATGTTAAGGACACACAGAAATGGCTTTTATGGGAAATAGAGAAGTCGCTGACCCCGCATAGCACAGCTCAGCAATGTCTGAGAACAGGCAATAAAAGGGCACGCTGACATAAACACCCGCAGACAGAGACATTCATTCACACTGTCAACAACACACACACAGCTTTCAGCAGCCACTTCACTCACACACTGTCGAGGTCAATGAGCTGACTCTGCCTCTCGTTGCCCTCGGTGGTCAAGAGGTCTTTAAAGTCTTTGATCTGGTCCGCCAGCTCCGGGTTCAGATTGAACTCTGCTGGAAACTCAGAGATCCAGTACCTGGAGGGCAGAACAAAGAGATTAAAAGAGAGGGAGAGATGATGAAAAATCCTGGAGGAAAGAAGACTTGTTTACATCCACACAATAATCTGACTGTTGCCAACACAAGAAGCTTAATACCCTTCTATGATTTTGCTGGTTTATATGATGATAAAAAGTGACTCTTTACCAAATAATACAATTTATGTGTGATGTATAATGGCTGTCAATAGTCAACTGAAAACTCCCAAACCAATAATTCAGGTACATCAGATCAAAGTTCAGAGAGCAGTGGCACGGGAAGGGGTAAAGGAATGAATGACAGTTTCTTACTTGACAAGGTGGCATATTCTTGTTCGGCGCTCAGCAGTGCAGCTATCCTCTTGAGATCTGATCCACAAGTCAAGGCGCAACTTTGCTGCAAATTTCTGCAAAACTGTAACTGTTTCTACCCATTTTCAGACTGTGACAAATCTTATTAAGATTTCAGAAAAAGATCAAGAAAAAGACAGACAGCACACTAAAAACTGTTATTTCTCAAACTTCCTGGATTCTTTTTCATCCCAAGGCCCTACAAAATGATTCGTCTTCGATTCCATTGCTCTGTCAGCAGGATGAAAAGAGAATGCCACAGAATGCATAATACATCTCCAAGGTAGCAGAAAACAAAGGTGAAGGATACTTGAGGACTAGCTTCTTAGCCATGTCAGTCGAAGGGATGTACCAAGGTTGCATCATGAGAAACATGCGAACCAAGGGAGTGTCCTTCAAAGCGCCCTTCTCATCTATAAGAAGAAAACACATGTCACTCATCATCAGGAAGATATAGCAAGTCCCGGCACAAGCTGTCTCTCTGGCAGTCAGTGTGCAAGTCATGCCTCATCACCAGTATGCACATTTCTGCAGAAGACATCTTTCTAAATTCCATATAACTGACAAAAATACACAAAATACATCAGTTGTTTTTATGGTTCAATTTAGAATACAGCTAATTATCAATGAAATAGTGTTCAAATGACCAACCGAAGGCTTGGATACACGCTTCCACAAGCTCATCCACTGTGGCCGACTGCTCCGATAATATGGACTCCATCGTTCCTTTCCTCTCTGTGTTTTCCCTCGTTTCTCTCTCTGGTTTCACTCTGGTGCCTCTACTGAACACAAAAGAAGATGAAAACGAAAGGATCAAAGGCGAGCAAGCAAGCAAAAGAGACTAATGATGAAGCAAAGAGAGAGAAAATTAAATTCATATTGGCTGCATGTTTGGAATAGTTGTGTGGTCAGTTGTATTCCACACTACAGTGACTGTTTACACTACATTTAGGGCTATCTGTCTGTCAGTGTCATCCCCTGCTGATATGATGGCTTGATTAGACCCAACAAATTCAAGGTGTCAATCTGTGAAACCAGCAGTGAAACCACTTGATGGAGCACAATTTAATTGGTCCAGCCTTCTGCGGAGAGTTTATATGTCTTATTATGGTATTAAATACTGAGAAGCTTTGCATTCATATGACTCCTGGTGAAATGTAGGGACTGCTAATACGTAAAAGAATAATAAAAATATGTAAGAGTATTTCCTTATTTCCTTAAAATGAGTACTTTTACTTTTGACATTACAATGGATTATCAAGGACTTTCACTTGAAGTTTAGTATTTTTACACTGTGGTATTGCTACTTTTACTTGATCTAATCTCCATCTAAGGTATCCTCCAGCACTGATAAAAATACTGAAATTTTTAAAATACCATATTGGCTGGCAGCTTCAGTTTAAGTGATATTGTTATCCACACTGGTCTTCCATAACTTCCATAAACTTCAATAATATCTGAATTCTAGTTTACATTAATACATCCATCATTTTTTATGACTAAGAACCATGAGATGGTTAACGTGTTAAACCAGTACAAATGTAGCATACAAATAAGGTCATTTTGATGACCAGCTTTCACTTCAATGCGGCTTGTTAGAGAAAGTGATAGCCACCAGCACAATCAACAGGAAACCACAATTTATTATCAGTTCTCGTCATGCTCTGCAGTGTACAAAACAATACAAGCATGTACAAGCAAGTATTCAAGGTCTATTAGCAAATATTTGGACTAGATGATGTCTATATCGTTGTATTGCATTTGTTGCCGAAATTCGAGGTCCAGTGTGTAACATTAGTGTATAACAATTATTAGTGTATAATCACCTGAATATAGGAATCGTTGTGTTTTTGTTACCTAAGAATGAGACGTTTTTATCTACAGACGCCTCAGGTCACCTTCCATGGAGTACACCATGTTGAATCGCCATGTTTCTATAGCAGCCCAGAAGAAGAACAAACCAAACAATGGCACTACATTAGGGCGTTTGTGTTTTTTGCGTATTTCATGGCCACCGTAGTTTCTCCTTTGCACTTGGAAGTGGTGGGTGAAGCGAGGATGTTGTGATCTGCAATTATTTCGCTAGATGCCACTAAATCTTACACATTGGACCTTTAAGAAAGAAATGTATACTGGTCAATTTTTCTTGGTGACTGAGTAAGTCCTCGCAGCAGGAAACCATGGCAACCAAAGCTTACCATCCAGTCACACTTTCACAACATATACACACACCTCTACACACAACGCACATGCACAAAATGCATGTTTTTATATAGAGAAGTCTGGTTTAGGAGCAAGAGAAGCCCGAGGGAATCTTTTTTTATTTATGCTATAATCCTAGATGCGTTTATTGTGTCTGAAGAGGTAAAATACACTAATCCTATCTTCTATATAGGTTACAGCTTAATCTGAAGGTAAAACGAGAGATAAAAGAAGCCACAGGATATTTTTGTCATTGCTGATAATTGTGAAGGTAAAGTTAGTTGAGGTTATACTTGAGTGAACAAAGTTAGATCACAAAATCCACAACAACAGACACCACCACTGCATCTGCTAATGGCTTTTCAATGTTGTGGTTCTGTGGCAGAGTGCGAGAAGGGTGTGATGAGTATGTGTATGTATCTATTGTGCCTGACACAATGAAGCCTTCTACTGCGCTGTCTCTGCTGCAACGTGGTGGGCGGACACACTCAATTACAGGCTTCACAAGCTGTCTTAGCCACACAGACACACACACACACACACACACACACACACACACACATTTCTGCAGGGATGGAGAGAAAAGAAAAGATATGAGAAAGAGATGGTAGTATAACCGTACAGCTTCAAACATCAGTCATATAGTACGAGTGAGCCAAAGTCACTACGATGATAAGTAGGAAATAGTAAGCTCCAAATCTGTGCCTTAATGAAGGACTTGGTCAGATCACAGCGAGATTAAGTGTACAAAAGTGACAGACTGACCACAATCAAAATGACGTGCTGCTGCTATAGATAGACATGAAAGTTGCTGGGAGGGATGCTAAGGTCACCGCAGGAAGTAGGACTGAGCAATAGAGCAGTGCTGTATCTATGAAACCTCAAAGAAAAAAAACCACCAAGACCTGTGGCCTACAAAAAGCAGCAATATTCTTAGTATAGATAACAGTTACCGCTGCTTACACTCAATGATTATAGTAGACAGGAAAGAGGCCTTGGTGTCTATTATGGCCACACAACCAGGGTTATTATTAAGAGTCATCTAGATCTGAGCTGAAATGCATTTTTCTGTGATAAAACGGGCATCTGTTTCACTTTCATGTTCAGTTCAGAACAGCCTGTCCTCAAGATCCGAATGAGGATATAAAACTACTGTCTGATGCAAGGACCTCCTGTCTCCATCCCTCAGGCAGTCACACTGAACAAAAAGAGAAGTGGGGGGGAGGATTCAGTGCCACCTGCGCAAAGGTTGAACCTGCTTTCAACTGAGTGTAGTCTGGCACTGCGGCACAGGCTGTGCCCGTCTTGATGATGATACTATCTTGCCATCTATTCGAATACACCATTCATCATCCCGCTGACAGGAGCTCTTTGTCGCGACCCAGAGAACAATATTCTCTGTGCTTTCAGGAGACCTCGAGGTCTGATTTATTCTTAACAAGCTCCCCCTTCTGTCTTTCTTTTCCAATCTTTAAGTATTTTCCCCACAGTGTGATTTCTGATACTGTTCTAATAGCTGTGAAGCGGTAAATTGATTGTTATATAGCGCAAACTGTTAGAGCTTTGGTGTCATCCTTGGTTGCCTGGTGACGACGATCCAGGGCCATCGATCAGGCAGATTAGGGGTGGGCTGGGGGCGCAGCGGGGATAAAGGGATGTTGACGCGGGGGCCTGGTCAATCCTAGCCATGCAGAATCGGCAGTGGGCATTGAAAATGTCACATCTTCTGTCTAGAAAGAGACAGACAACTTCTCACTGCTGTCCTTCTCATTCTGACTATTATAGCCACTAAACAACATGACAGTGTTTACCACTTTGTTGTACCTGTAACACATCCACATATTACCTACTTGTTATACCAAGAGTTAAAGAGGTTCTGAACCACTGTAAAAGAGCATTTTTTACTGCACAAATATGCACATATGCTGTATATGCAATAACACTGAGCAGAGCTTGTCTGCCTTGGACAGTTTAATGTAGGGCTGCAAATAAGTTACATTCATATTAATTCATCTGTTGACTACTCGGATTCATTGATTTAAGGCAGCCTACAACTAATTAGATTACTTTCATTGCCGATTAATCTGCTGTGTAATTTCTGGACTCATTGTATGGTGTATAAAATATCAGAGAAAAAAGTTTCCTAGAGTCTATAAGACGTCTTCAAATTCCTTGTGTCCGGTCCAAAACAACAAAGATACTTCATTTACTCTCACATATTAGAAAGAAAAGTAGCAAATTTTCACATTTGGGAAGCTGGAACCAGCTACTTTTTGTTGCAAAATTAAACAATTACACAGTACATTGATTATTAAAGTTGTCAATTCATTTTGTTTCAGCAAATGCCTGCTGCTTGGTCAGCGGTCCAAAATTGACAGAGTAATAATCATGGTGGCAAGCACATTTACTAGCACAGACCAACACATTCAAATAGAATTCTTAAATACCTGTATAAAGTGAATATAAATTATTTTGTGTATGCCAGCTTTTGCTTGTCTGATTCACATTAGATTATGTTAAGTATGCCTTCCTGCGAAGCCCGCACATCAGAGGGAAACTTTTCAGGTCTTAGAATTGACACTAGCACTGATTGATGATGAGACACTGACAAACCCACAGACAATGATATCCATCCTGCTATTGATATTCCCACAATGGGCTCATTTCCATGGTAGTAAAATACCAAGAGCTAATGCACAGTCACCATACAGCCATTGATTTAGTCTCATCCTCTCCCCACTGGCATTTGGGTAAAACAAGTTTGATTGATGTTTCCACATGCGGACGCATTTATTCACTCTGATTAGTGGTTGGGCAGGCACTGAACACACACACACACACACACACACGCACACACACACACACACACACACACACACACACACACACACACACACACACACACACACACACACACACACACACACACACACACACTGACTGTTCATTCTGCCTCACACAAACATGTTAAAAGGTTCTATCTCCAGCAATTTTAACCACACTAGTAGTGGCTCTCTATTGAGAGCTATGTGACTAACATTACAATACACTGAATGACCACTGCTGTTGGTGAAATGTCATCTAGAGCCACGATCCGGTCAAAACAATTTGTCCAGTACTTCGGTTTATTACCAAAAACCTACAAAATAACAACAATAAGGTAACAATAAAGCAGTGTTTGCACTGAACATCTATTTAAATATATTACATGTGATTTGAATTCTGTATATTTGGCATTTGGTAATGGTATATACCAATATAAATATACAAGATACTCTTCAAAGAATTTGACATTTATTTGGTTTGTGGCCTCTTTCTTACATCAGACTTATTGCTGGTGCTTGTGCTTCTAAAATAAACACTACATTTCCCATAAAGCTCTTGGCTTTTTTGACACAGAGGATGTTTTTTTCTTTAATATGTGTCTCCTATTCAGCGTACGTAGTGTGGTATAGTGTGCAGTGTAGTTCCATTATCACTTTTCTGGTGAGAATAATTGTTAGGTTTAGATTTCCAACAACAAATCCAACATGGTGGCACACAGTGTAACTTGTAGTTTAAAGGCTGGTGGATGCAGACA